GGTGGAAGGTGGAAGGTCGGCACGGGCGGGGAGCCGGGAGGAGTGTGCGGCACGGGCTCAACTACAAGTACCCTCCAGCGGTACTAAATTTGCGTGATGCGCAAGCCCATCAATTTTGATTGACTAGGATTTTTTCCTATCTCGCCTTCCACAAAGCGGCGTCGGAGCAATCTACGGTGAACGCAATACTTTTGTCCACACAAAAAGCGAAGGAACAGAGCTGTACTACAACTTTTGTCTCCAGGCAAACTTTTCTCCGCCAACATCTGTACGCAAACGATGAGCAGATCAATAACGATGACTCCGGCGCCTGCATCGCGCCTTCGTGCGGCGCCACCCCATCTGCGTCGCAAAGGAGGAGCAGACCCCCCTCCCATCCCAGCTCCCTCACATCCCCGAATCCTCCGAGTCGTCTGAATCCCCCGAGCAGCGCAAGGAGCGCGCGCGAAAGGCACGCATAGAGGCCGAGGGCCTCGACAAGGCCGACGAAGTTAGAAGTTAATTCGTCCTGGTGATTTACACGCCTGACCTGGACAAACTGCGAACGGAAGCCCAGGTATGTGATGCTATGCAAACTTAGCACGTCGCTGTAGAGCTGCTTGTACGCAGGTCTTTCTACGATTGTTGACAGATGTTGCCGTTTTATGCGTGAACCAGGGTCTCAAAATCGTGAAAGATAAGTGCGTTGAAAAACCCGAGGATAAAAGGAGGTTTTTGATTGCGCGCAACTGCTCAAGTTTCAGACGGCCTTGGAACTGAACAAGGCGTATTGTCGAGACTACTGAGCGCGAGGGCGAGTGCGAATCAGATTGTTCGACGAGGACGGGAACAGTCGCAGTGAAACTGGGCTGGATAATTGAGTGGGTAGCTGCAATTCGAGGAGAGATGTGCCGTCGCCATTCCTGAGCTGTTGCAACCACACCAGCAGGAGAAGCCGCCTTTACCTTGGACCAAACAGGTTGGCATGCCAGAGTGATGTCACCGGCTGAATTTCCGCCGAACACTCCCTTGTAATGTTGGACATCAAATGGCTCGGCAAGATACGGCTGGGCGACAGTCCTAGTGGTGCTACCCAAGCATTCCCAAAAGAAAATGCCATTTTCTTCCTCTGTGTCTCCCACTAACAACCTCTTCCAGTCGACAGGGGGAGATTGAGATCCTCGCGGTTGAATGGCTTTACTTGCCCTTGCGGCAAGGTCGTCTCGCGCGAGGGCGCCGCCGGCCTGTACGCGGGCATCCAGGCCCCGCTGCCGTTCGTCGCCGTCTTCAACGCCACCCTGTTCGCCGCAAACTCCACCATGCGCAAGGTCGTCGGCAAGGGCCGCCCGGACGACGACCTCTCCATCGCCCAGATCGGCCTGGCCGGCGCCGGCGCTGGCGCTGCCGTTAGCTTTGTTGCATGCCCCACAGAGCTGGTTAAGTGCCGCTTGCAGGCACAGCCGGGCGCCTTTAATGGTGCTATCGATTGTACAAGGCAGGTCGTTGCTAACAGGGGTATGGGAGGCTTGTTCACGGGTATGGGCGCTACTATGGTCAGGGAGATGCCGGGGAATGCTCTCATGTTCATGACTTACAATGCTACTATGAGGGCTTTGTGTAGCCCGGGGCAGGCTACGAAGGATCTCTCCGCCTCGCAGCTTATGTTTGCGGGTGGAATGGCTGGTTTAGGTACGTTTGCACTTGAGAGCAGAATTCCCCCCGGGAGCCGTGCCGCCGAAATCACATCTTTCTAACTTACTTATTGTTTTTGTCTTATTGTTTTTGTCGTCGTTTGTGTAGCCTTCTGGATGCCGTGTTACCCAATCGATTTTGCGAAAACGCTCATCCAGACGGACAGCGAAACCAACCCGCGGTATCGTGGGTTGCTGGATTGCATGCGAAAGACTGTCAAGGCGGAAGGCGTCGGCGGCTTGTACAAGGGCATCGGTCCTTGTCTGGCTAGGGCGGTCCCGGCTAACGCCGTCACGTTCCTGATTTATCAGTGGACGCTGCAATTATTAGGCCACTCTTAGGACGAAGCGCGCAACGATTTTGTATGTACAATAAGTGAGTGTAGTTGCGCGGAGTGCTTGTTGTCTTGTTGTGGGAGGGGATTTTGACTTTGGACATTTTTGGTGTGATGGCTCACGCGGGGGATCCGGGTGTAGTGTTTGTTTTGTTTGTGTGTTGATGTAACAGTCGCGAAAGGACGGGGTGAGTTGGTTTCTGGTTTCAGAGCCGACCGTTCTGCATCCTTTCACTGTGCACGACGCCACGCTTTGTACTGTACCGGAATTTTGCTAGGTGGGATAAAACCAGTGTTGACAAGAGTCAGTTGCACATGTTGCAAACTGGAAAGCATTTCAGGGCTGCAAATTTACGACAGACACTCGACAGACACTTGTTTTGAAAGAGAAGAGCCTGATAGATGGGATCTATCAGGTTCTTCTCTTTCAAAACGTAAAAGTATAGAAGTGTACAGCATGACGATGAGAGTTTCGCAACCACGTCAACAACTGAGCTGTTGTGAACTGTACGGTACGAAGGTACTGTACGGTAGGATGGGCACATGCGTCGAAAAATTGCCAAAAACGGGCCCTGCTTTGGTGCATTTAATTGATCCACCACACCAGCCCTGTGCCGCTGCCTCCCGCTTGATCCGACCGCCGTGCTGCCATTGCCTATCGTATCAATCCGCAACACTCCAAATACCGTACAACACTGTGTACCAAGGGTACTCGTTGCCGTCCAGACGTCCAGACTGCCCTCTCTTTCAACCTAATTTGACCCATTCCCTCACCAGACCGCCACCCGCCCATCGCCATCCCGCAGCCCACCCTACCCCACCCCACCACCCCTCCCCCGTCATGTCCCGCCCCCCCACTCTCACCCGCGCTCTAAAAGGCCTGCGCGCGCCGTACCCGCACCGCCGCGCGAGCGCCACGCCCGCTCGCGCCCCGACCGCCGACACCGCGCCCTCGCCCGCTCCCTCCAAGATGGCCTCTTTCCAGCACACTGGCAGCGCGGCGTCCTGGGCTCGCCCTTGCTGCCGCTCGAAACCGTCGCGCTCCCGGCCTCCGTCCAGGCCTCCATGTCGAAGCTCCTGGTCGCCTCCAGGCTCACGCCGCGCCATCTGCGCAAGTCCACCAAGCCCATGGACCGTCTCGTCGCGCGCGAGGCCGCGCACGAGCGCCGCAAGCCGCTGCGCGGCGCCCCGGTCGTCGCGCCCCCGCCCGCCTACGACGACAACGCCGCCCTGGCCCACGCTATCTCGAGGGCCCCCGGAACCCTGGCTGCAAGCGTCTACGTCATGGCCGAGGTCAGACGCTGCTTGGGGGAACGCTTCGAGCCGAAGAGCGTGCTCGACTTTGGAGCGGGCGTGGGCGTCGGCACTTTGGCTGTGGCCAGGGTTTTTAATGACAGCCCGTTTGTGAATTTGGCGGCATATTTGAGAGAGGGAGACAGTCGGGAGGAGCGGGAGGGGGAGAAGGAGGAGAAGGGGGAGGGGTTGGCTTTGGGGAAAGCCTTTATTGATGAGGCTGCGCTTGTAGATCGCTCGTCAGCGATGAAGAATATGTCCAGAGAGGTTTTGAAGGCGGACGGGTATGTGAATGGGCGCGTCAGTTTGTCACATGCGGCGGAACTGGCCGATTTGAAAAGCGCGGCCACGGAGTGGGACATTGTCTTGGCGAGCTATGTGTTGAACGAAGTCGTTCGGGAGACTATGTCAGAGCCTGCGCGGCTTGGGGAGGGGGAGGAGAAGATCCCCGTGCCCAAGGAAGAGAGGGAGAAGACGGCGGAAAAGAGGCTTCAGCGCAAGATTAAGGAGCTATGGAAGAGGACGAAGGAAGGAGGCATCTTTGTCCTTGTGGAAGATGGCACGGCGGCAGGGTTTGAGACGGTGTCGTTTGCGAGGAGAGTTATCCTTGGGCTCGCGGGGAGAGTGGGGGATGGCGAGTCTGGAAGTAAGGAGGGCCATGGCGCGAATGTGATTGCGCCGTGCATGCATTCGAAGGCGTGTCCATTGGAGGGTAGCATCACTCGGCATCGCGTATGTCGCTTTCAGCAGCGGTTCAATCGGCCAGGGTTTTTGAGGAGGCATCGCCCGTTGGCGACGGGGTATGAGGACGAGTATTTCTCGTACGTTGCGATCCAGAAGACGGGGAGGGGCGAGGAGGAGAAGCTTTCGCGGGATGAGCAAGAAGCTCTGTGGGGAAGATTGGTTAGACCTCCGCTGATGAAGGGCAAGCATGTAGTGTTGGACGCATGTACGGTCAACGGCGAGTTGGAGCGACGGGTTGTTTCAAAGAAAAATGCGATTGCAGGGCACTACACCCAGGCGCGCAAGGCAAAATGGGGAGACATCTGGCCTGTCAAGCCCTCGTCGAAACCTCAGAAAATGCAGTTTTGATCTTTAACATACAGGCGAAATAGGTAGATGAGCCGAAGTTTTGGAAAGTAGACATAGCAGGCAGTGCCAATAGTGAGAAGGAATATATAGGCTCTCGACGTGCAAGTCGAAGTTCGGCGGCAAGTTTACTTCTTCTTGCGGCGCTCAACACGCGCCATGAAGCCTTGTCTAATGGCTGCTACAGATCTCTTTGCGCCGCAACTCTCGCACGATACGAAATATAACCTAGTGTTGGCATCCCTCATGAGCACTGTATCAGGCGATATGCAACTGGTACAAATAACGTACTCGACCATGTACCTCTTGAGCACATTCGCAATACCCTCCGCGCCAAACCTGCCCTTCATGACCAGGCCTCCACCAATCTGGATATTACCTGTGGTTCCTAACTCTGCGCTCATGTACTGCAGCAGATGATCCTGTTGGCGATGGATGCTCTTACAAATGCTTCCAAAGTTAATAAAGACGGTCTTCTTGGTGCCCTCCCTGGCGACCTGAGGCAGTTGTAGCGAAATCTTCTTCTTCTTGGACCCAGCAGTGGCCAACGAGGGGTTCTTGCCGTGCAGGAATTGGAAAGCGCGGTTGATAAGCTCGGAGTAAGTGTAGTCGCGATCGTCGCCATCCCAGGGCTGCGGGGCGACCTCCCGACGCGAGGTGCGGACGCCGTCCGCATCGCGGGATATGACGGCGCCGTCAGCGTCGAGATCGTCGTCGAAGAAGGCCTTCTTCTTCTTCTTCTTCTTCTTGCTGCCCGCGAAGTCCGGCAGCGCAAAGTCGACGGGCTCCTCCTCCACGGGTCCCGCGTCGGAGGGGTCCAGGCCCAGCATGGCCAGCGAATCGGAGAGCTCTGCGGCAGGGGCGTCGGAGGATTTCGGCTTCTTCTTCTTCTTCTTCTTGGAGAGATCAAACGTCGGCGGCGGGACTTCTTCCGCCGCGGCGGGCGGCGGTGGCGCCGTGTCGCCCGTCATGGATGGGGATGCGTGTGGCTGTGAACGGGTTTGCGCGCGCCGCAGTGGGGACGAGGCAACGAGGGGACGAGGGGACGAGGGGAAGTC